GGATTTGCATCCAGATCGCACTCACTGCATCAGCTACTTGCTGGGTGAAGAGTATTTTGAAGCAGATCGCTTAAGACCTGGAGGAGTTTCCAGTGGCTATGAGCGTAACGTCGTCAGCATATGCCACTACTACGCAACACGCAGGGACTGCAAAACACCTTAGAAGGTCAGAGAAAACTCCCCCTTTGTGGCCTGTTTGGTGCCTCTATTGGCATGCCTGATTACTGATACGTTTCCTAATTCAACGAAAATTATTTTAAATTTATTTATTAAGAGATATTTCACGAGACTCACGATCTGTGCCCCGATACCCATTTATCGCAACTATCAACTATCCTTGGTAAGTTATTGTTATAGGCTCTCGATGACGATATCGCGCCTTAAAGCGTACACCCCTCTCAACCCTGGTAACAAAGACGTGAAAAGCGATGTTTGCAGATTTGCCGTTTGAGTAGGCTGGTAGCAGTGTTAGTTCATTTAGTTAGTTAGATTATTTGGAGGTATCACTTAACGTATAGAAACGTCGAGCATTTCCTCTAAAATTTTTTAATAGGAAAGATGTGAGGCTTATCGGTCGAATATCCTTTGAACCAGTATAACTTTTTCTGCCTCCCTTTGTAATGAAGATCACTGTCGCTTTGGTCAATACATGCCCTAAAAAAACCTAAATAAAACCTACATAATAAGGGAGACAGGATGGATGTTCGCTGCTGCCTGTAGTGCGGCAGAATATATTTCAGATAGTCCGGGATATTTAAAGCATTGGAAGGAGCTTAGTACCCATTCCATCCTTTAGCGGCTCCTGATATTACTTATATCAGATTAATCGTTTATTGGGGATTTTTTCGAAATGTGGGGAGGAGCATTATATTCTTTGGTACACACTGGAAAATGGGTGCTTTGTTTTAATGCTTACTTCTCACTACCATAGAAGTCGGATATGGCGCCTGGCATATAGTATAACATGTCTATAACATGTCTCCGGCCGAACATGTTCTTAGTTACTTGCTTCTCAAGCATTTGAAAGTGAACTAGAACTGAGTAAAGTATGATTTTTATGTCGGAAAACATACAATGGAAGGCGTAAAATATTTCTTAGCAAGTCTAAACCAATCTGAAAAAGGTTTGCACATTCCTTCTGAGCATGTTTCTTCACAACACTGGACTGAAACATACCTACTCCATATTTCCATATTATCTAATAAAGACAAGAGTACATGTCTGTTAATTTTTTTTTTCGATTTTTCACAACAAACCTTTTTTCAAGTGTACAAACCTATGGCATGTGGCCAAAGTCCGTCCACCAGTTCAACATCATAAACGATTGCCTTATTGGCCTTATTTATTCTGACCTTGTTACACTTTGTCTTTGAATTCAATTCAGTTGTACTCTTACATACACACAAATCTATGTATGTATTTAATTGTATGAAGCCAAACCAATACAAGTATTCAGTAATCATGATAATTTATATCATACATATACATACAATGCTGTGCCGAGCCATGCCAAGCCATGCCGAGTCGCGCTGTGTTCTGTTGCGGTCTTCGATGGTTCGAATTTGCTGCACGAGCTTCTGCAATTGAAATGTTGAAATGGTCAAAATCGCGGCCATAACAACTACAACACATGTACGCATGTATGAATTTAGTAGAAAATATTTATTGTGTTGGTCAACCAGAGAATATGGACGTGAATGTTGTGGTTGCATTAGAGGGAGTGTTGAGCGGCAGCAAAGGATATAAATAACTTGATGTTGGAAGAGGAGTTTCGACTGCCAAAAATGTTGCAAATATCCTGGCGGTGGCAAAGGCAAAAAAAAACAAAAAAGAAATAGATAAATAAAAAAAGTAAAAGAACATAAAATTACAACAAATCCAAAATTTTATGTCTGCAAATGTAATGTACAGTTATTGCAAGGCAAGAGCTAATCTATTTATTAACATACAATTAACAGTTGCTGGCAAAATAATAGCAGCGCTAAGTACGAAAAAATACAAATAAAAAATGGAAATGCTTCTTCAGCAAATTCTTACGATAATTTGACTTCAAAACTTACTTAAGTCATTACAGAATACAATAAATTAATTTGAAATGCCGCGACGGCTAGTCATTACCAGCACACTTAAGGCCGATAGGTCCATTGTGATACCTTTCTGAGGCTCCTATTTTCACTTGCTCAAATGAATGAACCACTTTGTGTGCCTTATGAAGACAACGAGATTCCCATTTTTCACTGAGACAAGCAGACAGCGAGCCCATTGAAGATGTGTTTCCCGAGGAATTTGTGTCGCGCTTATGTCAAGGCTAGACAGTGACAGAGGTAGTGTTCAATAGACTCCATCTCTTCTTCGTTCCTACAGCTGCGCAAAAATCATTAGAGTGGTCGCTTATTCCTTTCCCGTTAAGCCCTAATGCACTGTGGCCTGTTATTACGCTTGTCGTTATGTTAGTTAATAACCGGTCTAGAAGTATAAGATGTTTTGATTTTTTCGCATTCAACTTTGTCTGTCTGCACGTGATCTGATTCAGCCATCTTGAGCGTGCTTGGCAAAGGCCAGTTTATGCATACAATTTGCCGTGGACAAACGTAAGCCTGCATTGTGTACATGTTTCATGTACTGCGGTTAGATGGGTCTGCTATGCAACTGCCTAGGTGGCTCTGCGTCCGGGTACACAGACCGCGGTAATGTTGCATGTAGTCGAGAGTTTGTTCTGATTGCTTTTACATTTTTTAGACACTTTTGAAGTGGCAGCTTGTCTGACAGCTAATCATATCATAATCGACTGCCCCGCTGCCGTAGATTTGATCGGACAATCGGAAGCTTCCATGGTTTGAAAGAGTCTCATGGTTACACTTCCTAAAAATTCCACAGCCCATTTCTCTATCGTTCTTTGCGCCGTCTGTATGACTACGGCTCTCTGATCGAGGGAAAATATTGTCGAAGCACATACGAGAGGTGGTGTAGTCCAGACCCTTCGACACTTCGGCAAGAGATAATATTTTAGTATTTCATGTACTGCAATTCTGCCAAGTTTGGCTGAGTTGAATGCAATCCAGTTTCGTTACAGCTCGCTTGTAATTTCCTGCAAGCATAGGTCCAGGGGAATGAAGATGAGAAGAGTATACAGTGATTTCGCAGGAGTTTATAGCAGTGCTCCTGTTAGCAGTATATCAGTCGACCTTTGAACATGCTCAAATTTCCTCGTGAAAGTACGGCTATGCCCTAGAGTAGAATTGTTCTAACTATCTATGTTCGTCCTTAGACGCAATTTTTTTTTCCTAGCGCCGTTTTGAAAGCGGAAAGGGCAGTTATATCTAAAGATTTCCTTGACGTTCCTGCCGTGTTTCGGCTCGAACTGAGCTTTCTATCTAAGATTATTCCTCTAACAACGGTTTCGCCGATTTGCTAGTATTTAAGTAACAACCGCGACATACTTCGTGAAGTTATAGCGGATTTTGTTCCTTCCTTTCCTTTTCGTTCTTAAATTTCAACGCGTTTTAAAGCATTTTAATGAAATCTTAGAAAAATTATGTTCTTTGAGAAAAATGATCCGATGTGTATTTCAATGTAAAGCAGAAGACAGCACGAACTCCATTATCAACGTTGGTATGTTAGCGGAAACCATATCTTTCAAGTGAAGGCGCAGGGTGTTAAATCAAAAGATTTCGTTGGCTAATTGCGATCACCTCTTCGAGAGATGACACAGTCTGCATCTCACAAGATCTATGTCTTCATTGCTTGTGTGGCACATACAGCCGTCTTGTTGAAAGTAAACGTTGTTTAGATCGATACCATCCAATCCAGGTGTAAAAAATCATTAGTCATTTCCCCAAAGCGAAATTCATTCAGCGTAACTGTTGCTCTAGCCTCATTTGCGAAAAATGAAGGTCCAGTGACGGCCGCGGTAGCCGAGCAGCAGGCGTTGCGTACTGCCATTCGCAAAGATCGGGTTCAAGTTCTGGTGTCGGATTCACAACCAAAAAATTATAGAAAATTAATTTATACAAAAAATTAAGGTAAATTTTCTAATTCCGGTCGCCCCTCGGCAGGGAATGCCAACCCCTCTGAGTGTATTTCTGACATGAAATCAAGGTCCTTATAAAAAACCATCTGCCAAGCGGTGGCGGCTTGGAGCTGAAGAATTTGTTGGAAAAACATCAAGACGCAAAAACACAAATTGGAGCCTCCTCAGCTCGGCCGAAAAACCCGATCCAGCGGTTACAAAGCGTCAATTATATATATATAAGGTCCAATGACTCCGCTAGAACATAAACCGCATCAAACAGTTACACACTGCGGATGGATGAGGCTTTTCGGCAATAAATCTTGGGTTTTCCGAGCCCCAGATGTGACAGTTTCGCTTATAAACGTAACCATCGCGGTGGAAACGGGCCTCATTAGCAGTCAAGATGAGTTTTCGATGAAATTCGGGATCATTTTCATCCATTTCGAGGACGCAATCGGCAACGGCGCGACGTTGTTGATGCTCGGCCGACTTGAGTTCTAGTGTTAACTGAACTTTATAAGCCTAAAAACCCAAGTCTTTATGCAAACTACAATTTAATGAAGCTTTCGGAATGCACAATTGTTCACATCAGTGAACCCTCTACTTAGCGCTGCTATTATTTCGACCACAGTTGTACATCTGTACATCGCTCTTAGTGTTCGTGTGCTTGTGGCTCTAACAGATTTGTGTTGGAAGTAAAATATTTAGGGCACTCATGTTGTGAGTTTTCGCATAAATGCAAAGTGTAACGGTATATTTATTTACTTGGCGCGTAAAACATTCATAAATTTTGCCAAAAATTACTTTATTGCAACTATGCCAAAAGAGGAGTGCTGAAAGCTGCTACTTAGTGCCCAATTGAGCGATATGCAACAACGTCTTTTAGCACTTACATATATTTAATTTTACATACATACACGTCAGTTAAATACCGAAATAAATTCATAGCCACTTAAATTATATGATTTTCCACTTTATTTTGCTACAGGTCTCAGTCGATGAGTGGTGCAACATGTGGGATGCCTACGCCAAGGATCCAAGCAGTGTTATGGATTGGCAAACAAAATATATGAACTTCATGTTCGACCTGGAGGATGCCTCTACTGATGGCAGCATCGATGTGGATGAATTCGCTTTGGTTTGCTCCAGTTATGGCTTGGATAAATCCGAGTGTCAAGATGCGTTTAAGAAAATGTCACAGGTGATTGACTGAGTCCTTGAATAAAATATATTTCATATATATATACCTATATCCTTACTAATCGATTTTTCTTTAACACTTTTTCTTTAGGGTAAATCTGAGGTAACGCGTGATCAATTCGCTGCTTTGTGGAAGGAATATTTCGCTGCCGAAGATGTGAATGCGCCCGGAAATTTCATTTTCGGCAAAACTGCATTTTAACGCACCAAAACTTGCCCAGCTGGCTAATGAGCTCGACGCGAGCGCGTAGCTAGTCATTAAAAATTTTCAAGAGACGTTTTTCCAGCGCTCTTCACGATGAAATGGAGTGTGCGTGTATGTTTATGAGGAGAGAAGTTTGTTTCAATAAAGCCTCGTTAGTAAAACGATGGAAAATGATAAATAAATATTAATGAGAAATTCTAAATGAATAAATTAAAAAAAAAAAAAATCTCGAATGAATAATAATTGAATTTAATAAAATTTGCAAAGAATGCCAGTTAACTTGTATTAACAAAAAATCTACTTTATAAAAATTGACAGCGAAAGAGATCAGTTTATTTAAAATTGAAGAAAAAAAAATACATATATATATGAAAGATTCCTGATCAATGTGCTCAATTAATTATATATCTATACAAAACATATATATATATATCTAGAAAAGTAAATATTTAACTATATCGAATGCTGTTACATGCATACATATGTACACAAATGTATTATAATGATTTTTTGGCATCTTATACTCTCCCGTATTTGTAGTCAATCGATCAATGAAACAAACCTAATTAGTATGTATGTATGTGCAAATAGCGTACATTCCTGATATACACATATATCTATATAGTGAGTGACTTATTCGGTTTACTTTTTTTGTATAAATGTAGATAAATGTTCATGTAACGATTCTCAGTGGTAAAAAAATACTAATGTAGTCTTTAACAAAAAAAAAAAAAAAAATTAAAAATTAAATAAAAAATTTATTCACTAGTTAAAGGAAAACAAATTAAAGGAAAGTTTCAAAAATAAATAAAAAAAAAAACTAATGGGAAAATGATTATTAAGTAATAATGATGTTTAAAGTGAAAATGTTTATTAAATGTTTGTGTATGTAGCTAAAATAATTCAAAATAAAGTGTTTTAAAATAATTCCATGCGAATAATGTATTTCTTTTTTCGTTTATGTAAGTTACGTTCACACATACACGGTGTGTCCCAAAAATAACCGAACTTTTTGGATATAAAATAAAATACACATTATATTTTCTTTGAAAGTTATTATTTATTCAAAATTCGTTCCATTTGACTCAATACAACGTTTGGAACAAATCGCGCACAGACCTTTCTTTTCCCCAAATCTTCATTTAAAATGCTCCAAATAGTGTTTTTACTCGTATTCAATTCCTCAGCCAACATTCTCGTAGTAAAATTTGCATCGATACCAATGATTTCACGGACTTTTTCCACCAGTTCAGCACGATTACTAGTTTCTGGACGTCCTGCTCTAGGGTCGTCATTTAAATCCTCACGACCATTTTTAAATCGTGTAAACCACGTATAAGCTTGCGTACGACTCATACAATAATCACAATAAACTTTTTTTATTAATTTTTTTTTCAAGTTTGGCACAAAATTTTATATTTGCTCTTTGTTCAATTTTATTTTTGAACCATTAGCACACTTTTGGTTTTATTGAAATGGCTGTCACTTTTACATCTGTCATCCGACTTACATGGTGTTAGGTGCGTTTAAAAGAGGATGAATGTATCTTTTTAATGTTGTAATTTTTCAATAGATGGCGCCGTATGTTGTATGATTAAAACATAATGTTCGGTTATTTTTTGGACACACCTTGTACACCCAGCGGAATTTTCTATTCGATATTATTAACTGGATTACAGGTTGACGCAACAGATTTGATAGCTAAATTACATTCAAATGATTTTTCTGTTAATTTAACAGATGGTGCTCTGTTGATTGAAAATTTCGCGAGTCTTCATTTTTACAAGCTTTACAAAATAATATTGGTGTTAGCAAAAATAATATTAAATATGCCCGAAAGAAAAAATTAAAAGTGATCTACCTTTTGTATTAAATTATCTTCTATTTAAACCAAAAAACTTGCGACTTTTTGTATTTGAAATGTAATTTTTTAAAAGTGGACTTTTTTCAAACTTTGAAGTACTCTGGAATTTTCAGATTTGTTCGGTATTTTTTTTTTTTTTTTTTTTTTTGATGATTGTTTAATACGCATCGCACTATTCAAGAGTTCACACTCACCAGTCTCTTCTGAAAACTCATCACAACATTGGAAAACCAAAATATTTTTTGATACTTAAAAATTGAATTTTGAAGCTTCAAAATAGTACATTATTCTAAAAATTTCGTTTACCCTTTAAAAAAATTGCTGAAAATGCGTTTTCTTTTGGATTCTAAAGGCGACTACTGCCTTAACATAAAATCGAAAACAACATAATTACTGTTCGTTTAACAGAATTGTCTGTTGATGATTAACAGAGCTGATCTGCTGAAGAGAACTAACAATGTTATCATTCTAATTAACATATTATTATTGATTTATTTTAAATTGATTTCAGGCAATAATTAAAAGAAATGTTCCGCTGATATGACAGAAAATTTTAACAACAGAGACTTTCCTGGAATTAACAAGTTAGTTCAACAGATATCTGTTAACTGTTAACGATTTTTCATATCAAGAGCGCGATTTGTAAATATAGCAGTTATTATTTCTCTCGGTGTACCTGCCTGGTGGTCATTCCTCTATGGATTGCATCATCTGTAGCCTTTTCTAAATAATTCTTCATCTATTGACTTCAGGAATCATAAATTAGAGGGTTGCCGTTTCGGTCCAAAATTATTATTTTTTGTTGTTATGGCCACAATAATTGGTCGGCCAAAAATTCGTGTCGGTCCAGTATAAAGATTCTATTGCCACGGCAAGCTTTGGACTTTAGTCGCCTCTTACGACAGTCAGGCTTTTCCTGAGGAAAATTCTTGAACCCCTCCCTACCCTGCTGGTGGTGACCAAAATTTGTCGTTTCATTTGCCTTTCTGCCAAAAAGATGCAGCTGAAGCCTAAACTTTTCAGTTTACATTGGCTTTTAAGCAAGAAATCTGCGCTTAGCCTTCAAAATAAAGTCCTTCTTTATAATGCGACTATAAAACCGATATGGACGTATGGAACCCACTTATGGGGTACAGCTTGCGCTACGATTTTAGAAATAATACCAAGATTTCAATAGAAAATATTTAGAATAATAACAGGCACACCATGGTACATGCGTAATGAAAATAACCAGAGAGATCTAAACATACGCACAATCAAGGAAGATATTGAAATCGATACACAGAAGTACAAGTCAATACTGCACCATAATCCGTACCCTTTGGATATCCCCTTGGCCTCTGCAACACGTCAAATACACTTGAAGAGAAGAGACTACCATTGTGAAGAGCGACATTGGGGACATTCCCAGCTAATGGGCTTTTATATTTTAATTTGGTTTTTAGGATCAGACAACTTATTGTGAGGCTCCTGATAAAGAAGCAGATTCCATAAATAAATAAAAATGTTAAAAAAAATAATAAAACATTTGCCTTTGGCAGTTTGGTGTAACACGAATGGTGAAGGGTTCACGGTTCACGCTTGGTACAAACCTTAAAAAGAATTCTTAAAATTTTATTATACTCTACTGTTACTGTTATATGGATATTATTGGGGTTTATATAGTGAATTACAATATAATAATCATAGTTCAAACATGAATCCATCGTTTTTAATCGCTTGGAGTAGTAGCAGGTTTCGGTTTGAAGGAGGACCTACGAGCGGTCTGACACTAAAACACTTCCTTGTGGAACACCAGCAAATATTTCATTTATTTCATTAGAGTAATTTTTAGTTTAACCCGAAATTTTCTGGGTATAAGTGAGCTTTCTAGTGTACCTCTCAGCTTGTGTAACAGTCCAACTAGCCAAGCTTAATCAGATCAAGTGCAATATACAGAGCTTGTTTTCAAACGCTGATCTTATGTATTACGATTCTATGCGCCTGCTCTATTGTGATGTGCCTTTGTCTAAGCCCGAATTGGTGGCATGGTTTGACCTGTTTCGATTCTAAAATCGGTTGTATTTTTTCCATTGAATGGTTTTTCGAAGATTTTGGTGAATATCGTAATCAAGCTAATTGGCCGCTAGGAACCCACCAAAGTTAGATCTTTACCTGGTTTAGTATTCATAATAATCTCCGGCAGCTTCCAGAATTTACAATAGTGCTTTCTTAATATTGCTTTCTGATTGTGATAAGTGAAGACATATCATGTCGTATCCAGGAGACTTTTCTTATCTTAATATCATGGGAAAAAGTTTCTGTAAAATTAAATTGAATAAAATTTGCATCTAAACTTTCTTGAAATTCTTGAAAAGAAACAGATTCAGGACTAGGTTTTAATACGTTTGAGAGGTGCGCGGTCCTCGTGGCTTCGAGGCTCTCAATGGAAGGTCGGAGGTACGCCACAAAGAGTATTTAGTATAAGAAGTCGCTGTTAGAGATTATATTGATATTTTAAAGTGTTTTTTTTTGCCTCTGGGCATCTTCAATCTGCGAAGCTTATGTTTTAACGCCGGTTAACGGAATCGCTGTCAATCTCTCCTGAGCGGTCTTTTCTCGATCGCCAAACTTGTAATGTCATTATCTTGGAGACCGTTGGAACTTGTCTTCTATGTGTGTTAGGAGGGCTGTGTGTTGAGATTTTTGCTGCCAATTTTAGTATAGTTGTAAAGCCATCAGCTGCATTGTCAACATCTTGAGACTTTATTGGTTAAGCTTAGGCGCAATTCATTGAAAACTGAGATTATGTTAATACAACATAAACAAGGCGAGTGATCAGACGATGAGTCGAAAAGTGGTCTCATGTTTGCTTGTGCTTTATTGATACCACAAGTTAATCCAAAGTCAACCAGATCTCGGGTTTCACTGGTCAGTATGTATGTCCGGTAGGTAAACGTCAGATCCATTAAGGGATTTGTATAAATTTTTACCCTTTAGAGATATTATTCCAAAACCCCAGAAAGAATAATTCGCATTGTAAACTCCTGGTGCTAGGAAGCTTATACTCAGTTAAGAAAAGTGAACTGTGCTTCAGCTATGTTGTAACGTGGTGATCAATATATTTTATTATATTAACACATTTTATTTATTTATGGCGCCTCACAATAGTATTTAAATCTTATACCTAAATTAAAACATAAAATCTAGTAGCAAGAAAACTGCTTTGACTCTTCTCTTGATGCGAATTCAAAGTGTTGGCCAAAGGATTCGGATGATTACGCAGTACTCATATGTACTTGGTGTGGTGATTTCCCGCTCTTCTTTGATGTTTTGTATGTTATGTCTTTGCAGATGTTTTCATTACGCATGTACCACGGCCTGAGCTCAGCTTTCTCGGTAAAAAGCTGATGTAAACCAGCAGATTTAGACTTTAACTCTAGCTTATATTGTCTAAAGGTTTATCGCCTTTCTCAGTGGATTTCAAGGTTTATAATTTGTTAGCTTGTGGAATAGGTACATTTTCTGGCTTACAGTTACAGATCGATCATGTTGCGATTGACGGAAAACATGCATCCAGTGTTTTAGACGTGAGTACGTTCCGAGGTCCTAATATCAACTCGGACCACTACCTGTTCTTAGCGAAGATACGCATCCCTCTCTGTGTATCGAAGAACGCTCGCACACAAACACAAGGAAGGTTCGACGTTGAAAAGCTGCAGTCATAGCAGACTGCCAAACGATTTTCTACTCGACTTTCACACCTGCTCTCTGAGAACACTCATCAGCAACTCGGCATAAGGGAACTGTGGGACGGCATTTCAAACTCCCTACTTACAGTTGCAACGAAACTATTGGATTTAGGAAAGGCCGCAAAAAC